ATTAAAATTGCATAATAATATTATTTTTAAATTTGTAATATATTTCACAAATTATCAAATCCTTATCATTACGATATCGCATCGATATAGAATTGATATTGATATTTATATATCTATTCAATATTTATCAATTCGATATCAATTCAATATGTTTACGATATGGTTACAATATGGATAATGATATTGAATCGAGGTTGATAAGATATCGTAATGATATATTCAATCCATATCGTAATTATAAGGATTCGTTATAGTAACGATATCGATTCAATGCAGAATCCATATCATTTTTTATATCATTAGGATAGGATTCTACATCGAATCAATATCATAACGATATATATTCGATATCGATTTCATATTATAACGATGTCGTTACTATAATGAATCCTTATAATTACGATATAACAAACGATATAGAATCCATATCATTATGATAATGTTTCGATATCAAATATATATCGTTACGATATGGATTTGATATTTTTGTAGATCTATTGTAATGATATCGCATCGACCTTGATTCGATATCATTATCCATATCGTAACTATATCGTAATGATATTGAATCGACATTGAATCGATAATAACGAATCAATACTGAATCGATATCGTTAATATATAAATATCGATATCGATTCTATGTCGATGCGATATCATTACGATATCAAAACAATATTATTGCGATATCGAATCGATATCATTAAAACTTTAAGGGTTTCTGTAAAGTTTAACTAAAAAAAATTACAAGAGTAATAGAAAAAGAAATAATAGAAAATTAGATTTATATTATTATTTTTTATTATTTTATTATTATTTTTATTTTTATATAACTAAATAAATTTTCAATGAAAAATTATTGATAAGATTTTTATTAAATAAAAAATACTAAAATTAATAATTTATTAACTTATAAAATTATAGATTTATTATAATTAAATTTTAAATCCTTAATATTACAAATTTGAAAAATAGTTGCAAATACTAAAAATGATTTTTAAAGTTTTTATTATAAGATTTTATTATAATATGAACTCATAAGTCAACTCGAGTTGAATTGAGTCAACTAAATTTATTAACTTAACTTAATTAATGACTCGACTTAAATCAAAAGGATCAGAAATTTTTTGACTCAAATTCAACTCGATTTATTTGACTCATGTGTCAACTTGACTCATTTGAAGCTTTATGTATTATTTGTAAAAAAAAAAATTATTTAAAAGAAGATTTTTTGTCTTAAAGTCCTATTTTTCTAGCAAATCACCTATTTATTAGATATAATTTATAAGTAATTTTAAAACTATTTATATAATTAAATTTTATAATAATAAATCTAATTTTTCATTCATATAATTTGTATTATCTCTAAGATATATAAAATATTACTGAAGATTAATGCTAAAATTATGATATATTTAATAAAATATTAGTATTATTATTTTATTAGAATGAAATAAATTTTTCTCTAATATTTATAAATCAAATAAATTTGTTTTTAAAATTTTGCTAATATGCATTATTTAGGATAAAAAATTGTATTATACTGTACTATGATTATATTTTATTTATATACATATTATTTATTTAATGTTTTTATAATAAATTATATAACTTTATTATAATATAGATAATAAAAGAAAAAGTTATATTAAAAAGGACTACATAAACTATTTTCAGTATTTTGTGCTGGGTGTTTAATATTTTCAATATTTATACCATAAAATTCTTCTTCACATTCATTATATTCATTTTTGTTACATTCATTACTTTCTTCTTGTTGAAGCATTTCTAACCATTCATTTAAATGATTATTAAATTGTTCATTCAAATCTATATTATTTTGATTATCTTAAAATTTCAACCTATAAGCTTCATCCAATGAAAAATCCAGGCTCTGAGCAGTTCCTTATCCCTGGGTAATGGAGGTGGCACCTTAGACATATCCTCTTTCTCCTACGTAAAAAATAAAGCAAGAAGTTAATATTCTATCTTTAGAAAAGTATTTTGTTCACACAGCATGTACCTCTTCGTCGGAAAAACCTGTATTGTAAAACTGTGGAAGAGAAGGTGTTGATGATGTTGACGTTGACGGTGAAGGTGGTTTTGGTTGTGAAATCTATAAATGTAAGCAAAGTAAAAGTTATAATCCAACAAGCTGATACGACAGAACTGAGTTTATACTTACGGGCTTATTACTGCGTCGCTTCTTTGACAAAGATGATCCAATATTATAATAGGTTTCGAACATTTGTGGTACGGTTGAGGATGGTGCTGTTCTCCTAGCAGTTTTACGTCGGCGAACGATAGGACGGTCAGCGTCTGTGACAGAGGCACAAGAGGAAGCACTATCCCTTTCTTCATCCGGATCGTCATCCAAACTTCCACCATCATCTTGTTTAGCTTGGGAGTTTGAGCAGACGCCAACGTTTCCTCAATTGTCAATGCTTCCTCAATTTCAAATGGGACCTTCAAGGAAACGAGCTCTTTATAAATAAAATTGTATAATATTTTTTTTATTATCTTACGAAATAAGATCATTCAAAAATACCTTAACGTGCCGATAAACTAAACGGGGTCTTGCGGAATAATAATGATTTTGTTTCGAAGATCTTTATGGTAGCCATCCAATTCAATTTTTCCTGAAATTGGTTCAATAAATCGAAAGAAAGATGTCGCTCATGTTGATTTACCACAGTCTATATTTATTTATTTATTTTATTTATTTATTTATTTTTTTTTGAAAAAGTTTGAATTGAATTTTCTTTTTATAAGTATAATAGCAAATGGATAGTAATGTTCACGCTACATACCAGTTCTTCCAACAATACC